TCACTACAGTGGGGCCAAAACTAGCACCCACCTCCAGGGAAGATTAAATGAAACAATGCGAATAATGAAACTAGCAAGGAACCAGGCCCAGAGTAAGTTATGGCCCACAGCATCACCACCCACTTCTCTCTTCCCCACCAGGTACTGCAGCGACTGGAGCAGAGGCGGCAGCAGGCTCCAGAGCGTGAGGCCCCAGGCATAGAACAGCGACTACAGGAAGTAAGGGACAGCATCCGTCGGGCACAGGTGAGGCATAGCCCTAGGCTTAGAGCCACTAAGATTCTATCTCCTCAGCAACACCCCCTCCATTCCTCTTTCTGATGGGGAGGGGGAGGTAAGGTGGCAGAAGGTAGACATAATTGGCCAGGCTCTACTCTCTTCCACTTCGTGCCAGGTGAGCCAGGTGAAGGGGGCTGCCCGGCTGGCCCTGCTGCAGGGGGCTGGCCTGGATGTGCAGCACTGGCTGAAGCCAGCCATGACCCAGGCCCAGGATGAGGTGGAGCAGGAGCGACGGCTCAGTGAGGCTCGGCTGTCCCAGAGAGACCTCTCCCCAATGGTGAGCTCCTCCCCAATCCTAGCTGCACATACCCAGGAGGGTAAAGTTCCCCACTGGAAGGCAGGCCCTCTAAAATGGGATGACAATGGCACTTAACTCAGAGGGCCATTGTGCAGCTTAAATGAGACCATTTATATAAGTCTTTGCATGATTTTTGGCATAGAGAATCCTCAATAAACATTTATTATGAGGATAAAATGATGGTTAAGAACTCAGGTTCTAGCCAGGCACAGCAGCACACATCTGTAATCCCAGCTACTCAGGAGGCTGAGGCAGGAGGATCACAAGTTTAAGGACAGCCTCAGTAACACAGTGAAAACCTATCTCAAAAAATAAAAAGGGCTGGGGATATAACTCAGTGGTAAAGTACCCCTGGGTTCAATCCCACTACCAAAACAAAACAAAACAAAAAACTCAGGTTTGGGCTGGGGTTATAGCACAGTGGTAGAGCACTTGCCTAGCATGTGTGAGGCACTGGGTTCGATTCTCAGCACCACATATAAATAAAATAAAGGTACACTGACAACTAAAAAAATATTTTAAAAAACCCCTCATTAAAAAAAAATACTTCTGGAAGTATTCTATAAATGGTTTGGGTATCAGCCACTCCACTCCCTAGCTGTATAATCTTAGAAAATGACTTTTCTGAGCCTCATTTTCTTTAAAAATAAAAAGAGGTTAATGGTTATGCAAATTATGAAGATTAAGTGAAAGGATATACATGAGATAGTTAACATGTACTGGGTATACTTTTAAGCACTTAGTTGCTTTAGCTCTGCTATTATTTAGTATCATCCGGCTCTGTGTGATTTTGGTTGTGAGCTATGATGATTGGTTCAGGGGTACTATCTTGGAGGAGGACCCCTGGTGTCCTTTTGAGGTAGGATGGAGAAGAGGGCCCCATAATGATGTCTGTCCTCTGCCCCTCTCCAGGCTGAGGATGCTGAACTTTCTGACTTTGATGAATGCGAGGAGGCAGGGGAGCTCTTTGAGGAGCCTGCCCCACCGGCCCTAGCCACCAGGCCTTTCCCCTGCCCTGCACATGTGGTGTTTGGCTATCAGGTATGAATGGGAGTGGGGACTTCATATGGGTAACCATAAAGGACAGCTAAATCCTGAATCCTTCCTTGTGGGGCTTAGGCAGGGCATGAGGATGAGCTGACCATCACGGAGGGTGAGTGGCTGGAGGTCATAGAGGAGGGAGATGCTGATGAATGGGTCAAGGTACGTATGGGACCCTGGGTTCTGATCATGGGTTGGGGGCAGTGGGAGGACCTCTCTTTGGTTTACAAGTATCTACCCAGGCAAGCTAGAAACATAAGTAGAGGACAGCCAGGGCCATGGACTGCCGAAACAAATCTGATACTTGTTCACATTGCTGGGTGAGCAGGCTCGGAACCAGCATGGTGAGGTGGGCTTTGTCCCTGAGCGGTATCTCAACTTCCCGGATCTCTCCCTTCCCGTGAGTGGCCGTGACAGTGATATTCCCTTGGGTGTAGAGCCCACAGGTAAGAAAGACAAAATCTGGGCCTGGGGTCCGGGGTATGAATATGAATTATTGGGTGGTTATGGTCCTAGGATGTCATGGTCCTAGGGTACTGCCACCCATTTCCTTCTCTTACTATCTCTCCTGGGCTTCTACAGCATTCCTCGCCCGCGCACTATATAGCTACACGGGACAGAGTGAAGAGGAGCTGAGCTTCCCAGAAGGGGCACTCATCCGCCTGTTACCCCGGGCCCAAGATGGAGTAGATGATGGCTTCTGGAGGGGAGAATTTGGGGGCCATGTTGGAGTCTTTCCCTCCCTGCTGGTGGAGGAGCTGCTTGGTCCTCCAGGGCCACCTGAACTCTGTGATCCTGAACAGGTGAGAATTCAGTCTCCTTGGCTCCCAGCTACCTCTGGGTAGATCCTCACTCTAAGAAGGCCCCATATTCATATTAATGCCTCAGCTTCTTCCCAGTTTTACCTCCTATGGTAGTTTGGGCCTTCCCATCTCTCCTGAGCAGACAGAGAAAAGGGAAATCACTTCTCATAGGAGTTTGGAGAACTTTAGTGGTGGATAGACCTGAGTTCAAATTTTCTATTACATGACCTTGGACAGTGACTTAACCTCTCTGAGCTAGTTTCTGCATGTTTAAAATGGAGATAATAATACCTGCTTTAGCAGGCTCACTATCATGACTAGAGATAATAAATGTAAAGCCCTTAGCACCATGGCACACTGGAGATGCTTAAATATTGCCATAAGACAGCAAAGAAGAATATGATTGGGAGTCAAGAGACTTGGGTTCTAGCCAGCACTATGCCACTAACTCCATGAACTTTTGACAGATGGCCCAATCCGAATCTCACTTCTAACATGAGTCATAAAAATGCCTACCTCATGGGGTGGTGAGGATAGAATGAATTAAGGTATGTGCAGTGCTAGCAGAACACATAGACATAGTAAGTGTTCAGTACATATTGACTGTTGAAATAGACATCAGTTATAACCCCTACCTAAATACAAGCATTTGGCCATTTTCTGTATTGGAAAGTGAGAGGACAGGAATTGAAAGTGGGATGAGAGGAATAATTGGTGAAGCCTTCTCACATGCAAGGAATAACTCATGCCCACCCTACCTCCAGACACTGCCATCCCCTTCTCCTCCCAGTTTCTCCCCACCTGCACCCACCTCTGCCTTGGATGGACCCTCTGCACCTGTCCTGCCTGGAGGTAAGTAAAGGAAATTGAAAGCTCTGGGAGAATAAGAAATGAAAAGGAGGAATCTTGGACTCTGTTCATACTCCACTCCTGTGTGCCTTCAGTGCACCCACCTTCCATTCTTTGGTACCTTGACCAGAGATGATCATATAGCAGCTGCCAAATAAGTGACGGGGAGAAGAGCATGGGCTTTGGAGCCAGGCTGGCCTAGTTCAAACCTTGCTGTCACTTCCTAGTGTATAACTTGAGATGGGAGGTTTAACTTGTATGGCACTTGGTTGATGTGCTTTAAAAAGTGAAGAGACAGGTACTACTTTATTTAAGAGTTAGAAAAGATGCCTGTAGAGTATACAGCATTGTGCTTGGCACATAATAAACATATAAATAGTAGCGATTTTATCATTATTATTATTTTAAAAAATAAGCCATATTCTCTGTGTTCTTCCAAAAATGCCTTTGTTCTTAGTTGTCTTGAACCCTGAAAATACCTAACTTTGCTGTCATCCTTTTTCCTCTTGACATTCTTTTTTATTTTTTGTGGTGTTGGGGATTAATCCCAGGCACTTGTGAATGCTAGGCAAGCACTCTACCATTGAGCACACCTCTGGTCTCCACCCCAACCCCTTCCTTTTGCCTCTTGGAATGCTCACCTTTTCTAAAACCTTCTGGAACTTAACACTTCCTTCATAGCCACTGTCCCTGATCCCCGGAAATCACTGCCATCTCTAATACCTTTAGTTCACGTTGAATTACTTAACACTTAGACATTCATTGTGTTTGTTCATGTTTCATGACTGGGTATCTAAGAGCACTGGGAGGTGGGCAGAGCTGTGTATCCCACCTTCCATTCTTTGGTACCTTGACCAGAGATGATTATATAGCAGCTGCCAAATAAATATTTGTTGAGAATAAATGAATTGATGGATTTTACAGCTCAGGTTGGTGACTATTTATTAATTCAGCAAATACTTATAGAGTGCTATTATCCTAAGTGCTAGAAATGTAGCATTGAACAAAACCTGAAGACTGACTATGGTTCTTGTTTCCAGATAAAGCTCTGGACAGCTCTGGACCCTTAGACTTGATGGCACCTCGACTCAGGCCGGTAAGGGGCCCTGCCTTGGAGGGGACTGTGTGCACAGGGTTCATTCCAGCTGGTCTTGTGTTGTCTACTAGGCTGAGGGAATGGACAGGGAAACTACTGAGAGAGGACTCTGGAGAAGAACTAACTGTGCATTTCCCACAGATGCGTCCACCACCTCCCCCGCCGGCTAAAGCTCCAGATCCTGGCCATCCAGATTCCCTCACTTGAAGCTGGGGTATCACTGCCCCCAAGCGATGATGCTGCCCTATCTCCATGATATCAGAGACCACCCCTCAATGATCCACAGCCACACAGCCAAAAGCTGGAATTTTTCCCACATCTACTTTCATCTTCAGGGTTAGAAACTTCCCCTCTCCCCATTTTTGGGGCAAGAATCCATTTCTCCAATTGTCCTCCTGCCATCTTTAGGGCTGTAAGTACCCCTTTGTCTGCCATTGCCCTATCTCTACGGTGGTGAAATACCCTGAAATCTCGGGGCTAAATCTCATTCCCGAAGTCCTGACCGGCTCTGGTCCATCTCATATCCACCCTGGCTCTGTAGCCCACCCCACTTTGGATGCCAGGGTCACTTGGGTTGGAGTCGGGACAGGAGCTAGCCTTGGGAGTCAGAAGGAGCCAGTATGCGAAGCAGCTGTAATGGTCTGAGCGGATTTATTGACAGTGAATAAAGGGCACGAAGGCCAAGCCAGGGCCTGGACCTCTTTTGCCAAGAGGGCAGGGAGCCTAAGGTGCTATTGCTTTCGGGCCCCCCCAAAGGCAGGAACCTGGTCCCAGCTGCCACGCTCTATCAATATGGAGCGAGGTGTTGGGGAAGGCAGGCTAGGCAGCCTGTCGGCAGGTAGGGGAAGGGAAGGAAACCGAGGGTCCACAAGTGGAGGGACTTGTTCCCAAGTTCCCTCAGCCTGAGACCGTGCAACTCCAGGTGAAAGTAGAGCTGGTCCCTCAACTGGGAGCAGTGCTGTCCAGTGAAGGGGAGGGCCTTCATGCCCTCCTACTCCCTGACCCTGCCAGCTGGTGGTCCATCAGCACAATGAAGAATGAGGCTTGGAGAAGAGGAAGGGGAAGAGTTGCTTCCTGTTTAAGCTGTGTCCTAGCTTTTCCCCAGGGGCAGCCCATCCTTCCCTGTTCTCTGGAGCACATACCCACTCCCCACCACCAGCCAAAGAATTTGTAGCAAGCACAGGCTTAGCCTAGAGCTCACCCTGGAGTTTCAGGAGATGTTGGGCTAAGTAATTTAGGTAAGGGGTGGGAGGACAAGATTATCTAATTTGGGGTTCAAACTCACCTCACATACCCCCTGCTCCCTGTGGTGGAGACACCTGAGAGAAAGGGGAGACATCAACAATGGGAACAGGAGGTGATTCATATCATTGCTCTCCAGAGTAAGGGGCAATAAAACTGAGCCCAGTGCAGCCCTGGATGTGTCTTCATACCTGGTGATCTGAGGTGTCTGGTTTGCTTTGCTGTCCATTTGCCTCTTGACTGGGCAGCCTTGGACTTGGGCTCAGGATCCTCCCTCTGGCCCCCAGTGTTGGTTCTGCAGAGGCCCCAGAGTTCCCCTCAAGTGCACAAGGCACTAGGCTATTGTCCTTGAGTCCTCCATTCTGCACTGGGGGCCTGGCTAATGACTGGGGTTGTGGCTCCTCAGGGGGCAGCCTCTCAATGACAGGCATCCCTGTCCTGGGTAGCCTTCCACCAGACCCCTGACCACCTCCTGGGTCCTGCCCCCCACCAGAGCCCCAGCTTCTGTCCGTGGGGGAACCATCACGATGCTCATGCAGCCCATAACGCTTCTCAATGTGTGTCACCCGGAACCTAGGAGGGGAGAGAATACTGAGGCTTAGGACCACAACTCAAGAGGCTGCCTGGCATTCTCCTCTGACCACAGACATTCTAGGTTTTATGGCCACTTCCCTTTGGCCTAGGGTGGAAGAGATCTTCTCAGATTGTGGGACACACCATGCAGCCTGAACCCTGCTGCAGCTCCAAATCCAGCAGGAAAGAGCTAGGGCAACTTGGGGTCAGGTACCTGATCATTGGGGCCCCCACCTCAACCTCCCTTTCCCTGGGGCACTCTGTCCCCACCTGCCCACAGAGAACACAGTGGTCTCTCCAGGTCGGGGGCGGCTTTTTCCTTCCTTGGACCTTCCCTGACGAACAAGTGGGGGCCTCTTGTTGCGGCTGCAGTGGATGCAAGGGGCTGCGGAGCCCAGATGCACTGTGTGGTGATGGGAGGGAGCTCCATCCTGTATGCTGGAGGTGGCATCCACGCTGGACAGTAGGGGGAGGAGAGCAAAAATGATATTTCTATTCCCCTTCTTGTCCCATTTCCTCTGGTTCTTTCAGCATGCTTTTCATACTCCCCAAACCCCACTTTTCCCAGGTCCTAACATTATTTTTTCTAATAAATTTAATATTAAGTTATGAGTGACTATGTGTTTTTCCTTGTGGCCCTGTTTGCTAAAAAGAGGGCAATGCTTAAATCAAAAGAGTGGCCCTAGATGTGAATGTTGTTAGGCTTGTGATATCTAGATGGAAAACATGGTTTGAAGGACTTGGAATTTCTATAATTTTTTTTTTCTATAAGTTAGCAAGCTTTCCCTCCCCCAAACCCAAACACAATGATACTGGGAGAAGACTGTGCTGGAGGAGAGGGTACTCTCCAAGGCAAGCTAAGTCATGCTGGCCCTTGTTTCCAGCTCACCTGGAGAGCTGCACTGTCCCTTCTCCTTCACTGTCCCCCAGCATCTCCTTCAAGGCCTCAGCATTGGCTGAGGGGAGAAGGAAAAGAGGGAGTCAGTGGAGGGGGAGGTCAGGGCAAGAGTCGGGGTGGGAAGGAGCATTGGGTCAGCCTACACCCACCTTCATTTTGGATGATGCAGCGAACAATCCTCTCTACCGTGTCCTCATTCACGTCATCATCCTCAGCTGAAGGATGAAAGAGGTTGGCAAGGAAATGGAAAATGAGTCAGCTTTGGGGGAACATGACCTGATGGCCCCCATGGCTGATTCTCAAGACATCCATTTACCTATTTGCCATGATGGCTGGACTTTATTATTTCAGGGGCCAGAAAAGATGGGGGGAGGAAATAGGAGCCTAATACTACCATTAGTGAGCCCTTCCTGCCCATGCTTTCTCCAGCATTGCTTTCAGGGTGGTGTCACTCTACTTGCTGATTCAAGAATGCATCACTAGGCTTCCTGCAGGCTTGATCAGGATTTGGCCTGGGTCTTTCAGCCAGAAAGGCAGAAAGAGGTGTGGGGAGAAGGGTAAGGGAGAAAGGTGACTGAGCCAGGTTTCCAGGCTCCTCACTCACGTGGCTGGAGCTGGGCATCGTCAGGCTCCGAGCCCCTAGACGTGCGGCACCGGTAGCCTTTCTTCTTGAGCACGTGGCAGATCATGAAGCCTACTAGGCCCATGAGGAAGAAGACCAGCACAAGCAGGAAGAGCATGTACAGCCCATGTTGGGGCGGCTCCAGGTCAGGCTGTGGTTCCGACATGAGGCCCTGGGGGGCGAGCGCGGGCCAGGACGCCTCCTGAGTTTAGGGGGCTGCAGCTGGGGATGAGGGAGGGTTACAAATGGGGTCCTCAAGATCTGAAACAGACATGCCTCCAGGCCCGGCCCCACCCCTTACCCAACCACAGGGAGCTGTCCGGGCCAAAGGTGCTAGTAAGTCAAGACCTCCTGAGGTTGCAGGCCAGACCGTGGCTGTGCAAGCCCTCTGACACAACTGGAGTCCCACTTCTCCGACGCCCAGAGCGTCCCCCTTTTTATCTGGCCCCGAGGTTCCGTCCCTCCCAAGGACACTGCAGATCGAGATGGGACAAAATTCTTAGGCAGCGGGCGCAGATAATGCGCCTGAGTCAGCGTCCGCACCTCCTCCGCGTTGGCCTGAGCCAGGCCTCCTGCAGCCCCCTCCTCTCCCGGGTTTCTCAGATCCGTCCTCTCCCTTTAGGTTCCTCCCACCCTGACCATCTGGCCCACCCGGTACCGGTGGTTTTGTTCTGGCTCCGACTCCGGCTCGGGTTCCCGCTCCAGGGGCGTCCTAGTCCGGCTCGGGGCCCCCGTCGCCCTCCCGGCGTTCATCCCTTGATTCCTCCCCCTCCCCCCTACACCGCCTCACCGGCTCCGGGCTGTGGCTGCGGATACCGGTGCCGCGGCAGGCGGGGGGAGGGAAGGATGGAGGGGGAATGCGGACTGGTTGGGAGCCGCGGCAGGCTCCGGACCACTCCAGCCCTGGGGAATGGAGAAGGGAGGCGCCTCCGCCGCCACCCTGGGTTCCCAAATCCTTCTCTCCTTGCCCGCCCGGGACCAAGGGGCGGAGCGCAGGTGTGCGGGGCGCAGAGCGTGAGCCTTGCGCGCTTGTGAGCGCGAGAGAGATGCGCGCGTGACTGCGCCGTTCCCCCCCACCATGGGGGGAATGTGCGGCGCCGAGTCTGGGTCCGCGTAGGGGACAGGAGGTCAGGCGGGGGTGCTCTCCACTGCTCTATCCGGCACGCCTGGCGTAGCTCCTGTCCTCAGTTACCCCAGACGAGTGATAGCCAGGAATCTTTCCAGCGGGCTGGGGAAAATTGTCTTTCTGAGAGGGACACCGTGGCCAGATCTTCGGAGCTTCCTAGACAGGTGACCACGGCCTGTTTCCCGTTTGGGGCAAGTGGTTGGACGGGATGGTTCGGCTTCCAGAAGATATCACCCCCCGCCCAGAAAGAAATGGCTCTCGCATCCTAGAACCGATGCCACGGTCCCCAGCCCAAGCCGGGTAGCTCACGCCCCAGAATCTGGAACTAAGAAGCTAATCCAGGGGCAGAACTCCCGCAGGGGCGTGATCTGGGCACAGTCTCAGAGAGGCGGGGCCTAACCTTCCCTGTTCCGCAGAGGCAGGCTACGTGCTTGCGCAGTACGCACGAGCCGGGGGCGGGGCTGGCGTCCGGCGGGCGGCGGAGGCGCTGGGCCTGGTCCCGCCGGCGCTATGGCCAAGACCGTGGCCTATTTCTACGACCCTGATGTGGGCAACTTCCACTACGGTGAGGGAACGGGTTTGTGCGCTAGGGGCTTGAACGCAGAGGTTTCGAGGCAAGAGCTGTAGCTTCAGGGATGAGAACTGACCAACTCTCTTTTCCCCACCCCCAGGAGCTGGACACCCTATGAAGCCGCATCGCCTGGCATTGACTCATAGCCTGGTCCTGCACTATGGTCTCTATAAGAAGATGATCGTGAGTCCAGCTGGCGGGTTGGGAGCGAGCTGTGGTCTTAGGGATAAGTGGATTGGACCGAATGTACCAGGTGCACCCGCCCCTAGGGTAGGGGGCAGTTAGAAGTCGCCTGGAGCACTCTCTGTTTGCAGAGTTTGTGGGTGGGCGTTCTCTGAGTTAATGGGAGTTACATTTTCACCTTAGGCTAGTCACCCTTTGACATTAGGCACACCAGCCCTTGGTGTAGGGTTAGGGTGGTGTGAGGCCCTCTTGAAGACAGATGTGTTTCTCTCTGAATTTATTTTATGTACTATGTATTTATTTTTGCAGTTCTGGGAGATCCAATCAGGGCCTTAGGCATAATAAGCAAGCTTTCTACCTATGAGCTACACTCCCGGTCCCCGCTGCCTTTTAGGGTGTGGTTAGTGTTGTGGCCTCAGGGATGGGTGTGTCTGGATCTTTGTATATATCTCCTCCCACCTCTCACTACTTGCTAGGAGCTAGAACTCTAGGGACAGCTCTGCAGCCTTTTGGGTAAATTATGTGTATATGTGTGGAGAACAGGAGATGCCTTCTGTATTCCTTTTTCAACCTAGAGTACCTCTACATAGTATCTCTGCATAGTTAGGCTTAATCATTGCCCAATCCTCCATCTCCCATATGTATGCATACTATTCATCTCCAGTTTGGAATTTGCAGCTGTGAAATGAGATAATAACAGATCTCACCCTTATGTATTTTGAGGGTAATGAACCAACAATATGAGTGATCTCTGCTTTTTCTGAGGCACAGACAAGTGGATTGGTTGTAGAAAGACTGAGGTATTGTTAGTGCAATAATCTCTGAATCCCTTGAGATTATGTGCCTCTGTGTCCCTGCATGCATTTTCTAGGAGAAAAAAAAAAGCTATTTCTTCTTGCCCAAATTTCAAAGAGGTTCATGAACACCCCCACCCCCCCAAGGACGATAAATCTTTGGTTTGGCACCTTGGATTTTAACTAGAAGATTGTTATATATCCCTTATATCTGATTTCAGAATGAAGAACCTAAAGGGCAGAATCAGAGTCAAGGGGAGATGAGTATGGAGAGAACCAGGAATAGGAAATCCAGGGATCAGGGCAGGTGAATCAGGGTTCAAGGTTGAGAAGGTAGGAGAGGCTGGGCTGGAGGTGGAAAGGAGAAGTGGTTTACATGGGTCATTATCAAGACCATTAACAGGAGCTTCTTTTCTTCACTGACCTTTATCTCGTAGAATAACAAGGATTGGGATTGTTGTATGTGGTTTTGGGCAATCTCCAGGGGTGGGCTCAGTGTGGCGGGTCTCAGCCTCATCAGTGGGGATGATCCTGCTAGGTTCATCTTGTTTCTCCATCCCAAGGTCTTCAAGCCATACCAAGCCTCCCAGCATGACATGTGCCGCTTCCACTCTGAGGACTACATTGATTTTCTGCAGAGAGTCAGCCCCACCAACATGCAGGGCTTCACCAAGAGCCTTAATGCCTTCAACGTGGGCGATGACTGGTGAGGGAGGGGAACACTTGGATTTGGGGATGTCAAGCACTTTGGTGTGAGGCCCTTCAATGAAGTTTTGTAATAGGACTGGGAAGATATGAGGGGGGGACCTACTTGTCAGGGAATCATCATTCGCTCATTTGTTTATTCAGTAAATATTTATTGGTGATTTACTTGAGGCCAGGCCCTGTACTAAGTGTGAGGGATGCAATGATGAACAATAGCAGCAAAATTTTAATATTCATCTGAATATTAAATTAGATCTGAAAAAAAAAGAGGAATTAGGGGAAAGGTGTTTGGCAGCTGAGGGAAGGGATGTATTGGGTAATAGAGACAACATGTCTGTGGTAGAACAAAGTATGACTCATTTAAGGAACAGAAAAAGCCCAAGTGCAGCTGGGCATGGTGGCTTACACCTGTAATCCTAGTGACTTGGGAGGCTGAGACAGGAGGATCCCAACTTTGAGGCCAGTCTCAGCAACTTAGGGAGGCACTAATTAATTAGACTCTGGCTGGAGATGTGGCTCAGTGGTAAAGTGCCTCTGTATTCAATCCCCAGTATTAAAAAACGGAAGAAAGAAAGAAAGAAAAAGCCCACGGACAGAATATGAAAAGGAAAGTAATCTGATTAGAGGCTAAAGAGATAAATGAGGCCTTTTGAACAGCCCTGTTATGAATTGAAGTTTTTGTTCTTAGAATAGAGGAAAGTCATTAAAATGTCTTAAAAGGCAAGGGAGTGATTTGACATGACCAGGTTTACATTAAGCTTGTAACGCATGTAGATGACTCAGGGTTAGATGCTGTGGAGAAGGGGGTGGAAAGTAAGCCATGATCCTTGCTCACACTCTAATATATGTCCATGAAAAATAATAACCAAAACAGCTACCATGTACTCAATTCTATTTAAACTTTTTAAAGGGAAATTTCAAACATTTCTGAAAGTAGAGTAGAACATGTATCTATCACATCATGTATCCATACCCCTCTTCAACTCTTTTTTTTTAATTTTTTGGTACTGGGAATTGAACCCAGGGGCACTCAACCACTGAGCCACATCCCCAGCCATTTTTATTTTTTATTTTGAGACAGAGTCTCACTAAATTATTTAGGGCCTTGCTAAATTGCCAGTGTTAGCTTTGAACTTGTAGTCCTTCTGCCTCAGCTTCCTGAGCCTCTGGGATTATAGGTGTGCACCACTGTGCCCAGCATATCCAGCTTCAGCTCTTATAAGCAAGTGGCCAGTCTTATTTCATCTGTACCCCCTTGTGTTAGATTATTTATCTCTAAATGAAACTTAAAAAAAATCTAAATCATACCTAAAGATGAATAGTAATTCCTCAATATAATCAAATATACAATCAGTATTCAAATATTGTCTCATCTCATATATTTTTATACAGTTTATTAATATCAGGATCTAAACAAGGGCCATGCATTGTGTTTGATTGATGGGACTTGAGACTTTTAGTCTGTGGCTTTTCCTTCTCCCCCTTGAATTTATTTCTTGATAAATAGGTTTTACAGATTGTTGATCCTATAGAGCTTCCTACAATGGCTACCATTTATTAAGTACTTATTTTGCTAGTATTATGCTGAGGGTTCCTAGTGTATCCTCTAATTTTCATGCCAACCTGGAGATATAATAAATAGGCCTTTTCCTGATGTTTCACATAGATAAATGGAGATTTGGGGAAATTTAGGTAACTTACCACATTTCACGTAATTGGTCAGTGGTGGTGGCAGGATTCAGATCTAGAGCCCAGATTTGTTTTTGTTTTTGTTTTGTGGTGCTGCATCCACAATCTAAGAGTCCAGATTTTTGAACCACTAATCTATTTCTATGAAAGATCCTATTGACAGATGCAGTCCAGGCTGCCAGATAGAGGCCAGTTCCTTTTGCTGGCATTGAACACCTTCCCAATCTTATTCCCACACTCAGCTGCATGGGATCCCTTCCTGGAATGTCCTTGGATGTCCTGTTCAACTTTTTCAAGGCCTTCTCAGCCTTCACAACATCTTCATACCAGCCCACAGAGCTCTGTCCTGAACATACTGCCTGCTTAATTAGTTTTGTCATATGCTGTCTTGGGAAGTTTCTTAGTTTTGTTGTTGTTGTTGTTGTTTGTTTGTTTTTGTTTTTTTTTGGTTCTATGGTATTTTTGGTACTCAACTTTACTGCTGAGCAACGTCCCCAGCACCCCCCCCTTGCCCCCTTGCCCCCCCTTTTTGGTGGCAGCAATTTTTTTTATTATAGTTTTAAATGATTTTATTATAGTTTTAAATGATTTTGCTTTCCATATAGAGAACAGTAATATTTCTACCCAGCCTTTTTAACTTTTTGTTTTGAGACAAGGTCTCACTGAGTTACTTAGGGCCTCTGTAAGTTGTTGAGGCTGGCCTTGAACTTGAGATCCTCCTGCATCAGCCTCCTATGTCACTGGGATTATAGGCTTGTGCCATCATACCCAGCTCTTTTTTTTTGTTGTTGTTGTTGTTCCTGCTGCTATTCCCGAGTTCATTTTCTAGATCTGGGAATGTGGAATCAGACTTTAGGCTACAGCAGGAAACCTGTATATGCTCTTTGCATAGTTAGGGCATCTACTCTGGGCCATTTGGCTATTTTCAGTTGTTCTGTCAAATTTAAACTATATCTATGTTTGTCTATGTTTCAGAGGAGAATCAGGAATTTTCCTTCTTTTTTTTTATGTGTGTGGTTCTGGAAATTGAACCCAGGGGTACTCTACCACCAAGCTAAACTCCCAGCCCTTTGTATTTTTTACTTTGAGATAGGGTCTTGCTAAATTGCCCAGGCTGACCTTGAATTGGTGATCCTGCTGTCTCATCCTCCCAAGTCACTGGAATTATAAGCACACACCACCATGTCCTGCTCCTTTTTATTTTCCTTTAATTAATTTGTGATGGTTTAAAAAGTAATCTAATCTAATATAAATAGCCAAATTTATTTACAAGGCTTTTGTGTGTGTGTGTGTGTGTGTGTGTGTACACGTGTACTGGGACTTAAGCCCAGGGATGCTTTACTACTGAGCTACACACTCAATTATTTATTTATTTACTGAAATGGGGTCTTGCTAAGTTGCTGAAAATCTTGCTAAATTGCCAAAGTTGGGCTTGAATTTGTGATCTTCCTGCCTCAGCCTCCTGAGTCACAGATTACAGGTACACACCACCACACCCAGCCAGTACAGGTTCTTTTTTGTTGTTATTGTTTGGTCTGGGGATTAAACCTAGGGGTGCTTAATCACTGAGCTACTGAGCCACATCCCCAAGCCTTTTTTATATTTTATTTAGAGACAGGGTCTTGCTAAGTTGCTGAGTCTGGTTTTGAATTTGTGATCCTTCTGCCCTACCTCCTGAGCCTCTGGGATTACAGATTTGCATCACCACACCCAGCTTTTATGAGTTTTTTTTTTTTTTTTTTTTTAGTTCTGGTTGGACACGATACCTTTATTTTATTTATTTATTTTTATGTGGTGCTGAGGATCAAATACAGTGCCTTTTATGTGCTAGGTGAGTGCTGTACTGCTGACAACCCTAGGCCTCTATGAGGATTTTTTTTTTTAATATTCTTAAGTTTTAAGTGGACACAATATCTTTATTTTACATTTATGTGGCGCAAAGGATCGAACCCAGTGCCTCATGCATGCTAGGTGAGCACCCTACCACTGAGCCACAACCCCAGCCCCTTTATGAGGTTTTTAATGGGATTTTTAAAAAAAGCAATCCCAGACCTATTCCTCCTGTGCATTAATCTCTGTCCTCAGTAGCAGCCACTTTCAGCTAGCATATTTTTTCTGGTGCTTATCTTTGGATTTCTAAATGATATAATAAATTTACTGCTACTGATCTGTAATATTTAGGTAATACTTAATACACTAGGTACTATTTTAAATGCTTTGTAGCTATTTAGTTTCAACAAGTATATGGTAGGGTTTATTATTATCTCCTTTTTAAGAATAAGGACATTGAGACACAGAAAGGCTAAACAATTTGCCCAACATTACTAGCTGTCTGGCTTATAAATCTGGGCTTATAATTATACTCCCCTACTATATTACTTCTTGTCAATATTTCTTCCTTTATCAGTTTTTAGACATCGTCTATAAGCTGTTCGTATGGATATGAGCATTCTGTCTTCTCATACCATCATACTGGCTTCTCCCAGGTTCATAATGTAGCTATATCATAATTTTCAATCAGTCACTATTCTGTTTACTTTATCATAACTACTATTCATTTGTTTTAGAACCAAATAGTAATAGTTAATTTATTTTCGTATACAATTTGTTTTTCCTGAAGCTAATAATTTCATTGCTTTTTTATTTGCTAGTTGTTTAAGTATCAAACACTAATTATTTCCAAACCCTTGAGAAATTATAAAACTCCCTAAATTCTATTTTTCACATGGTTAAATGTGGCAGTTGTACTATTTTCTTGGATACCTAAAACTAGGGTTTTTTTTTTTTGGTGCTGGGCATGAAACCTATAGTGTTATACATGCTAGGATCAGTCTCCACCACTGACCTTAAAAAATCCAAACTAGGGATTTTTTTAAATCTTTATTTTATTTATTTATTTATTTTAAGAAAAGAAAAAGCGTTTATTGCCTTGCCAGCAAAGGAGAAACACAGGGGACTCCTGTCCCAAGGGCTGTGATTCTCCAAACTAGGGTTTTTTTAAAGGCATTTCTTTATTTTATTTTTTTTAAGTGATGGTTAATGAAGGTATAATTTACATACAGTAAAATTCACCTTTTTTTGTGTGTAACATCTTGAGAGTTTAGAATGTCTCAAGATTCAGGATATTTCGCTTACCCCACAAAGATCCTTCATACCCTTTTATCATCAATGCCTTCTCTCCACCTCAGCTCCAGGCACCACTGATCTGACTCTATCCTATTTTGCCTTTTCCAGAATGTTATATAAATGAGTCATGGTATGTAGCCTTTTGTGTTTGGGTTCAATCCTTTTCTTTATATGAAGAATGAAGATAGCGATCATTTTAGCTAACATGTGGCTTATAGTGCCATAAAATGTGCTAAAAACTTTCCATGGTTTATCTTATTATTAGTAGTATTTTGTGTATATAGGAATATAATTCTTTCTTTAAAATGTGTGACTGTCAAGGCTACTATTGAACATTATGTTAGAGTGTGGTACCTATAGAAGACTTTTAAGAAAAAAAATAGAATTCATGTTTTATCTCAATTTATTTCCTTTTTATTTTGGGGTACTGGGGATTGAACTCAGGAGCACTCAACCACTGAGCCACATCCCCAACCTTATTTTGTATTTTATTTAGAGACAGGGTCTCACTTAGTTGCTTAGTGCCTCAGCATTGCTAAGACTGGCTTTGAATTTGCCATCCTCCTGTCTCATCTTCCTGAGCTGCTGTGATTACAGGCATGCACCACTGCACCTGGCAACTTATTTCCTTTTTCCTTTATACTTAAGAACCTAGATGCTGAGCTGGGCATGGTCATGCACGCCTATAATCCCAGGAACCAAGGAGGGCAAGGCAGGAGGATCGCAAGTTTAAAGTCATCCTCAGCAATTAGTGAGGCCCTCAGCAACTTATCAAGACCCTGTCTCAAAATAAAAATTAAAAAAGGGCTGGGGATGTGGTTCAATGGTTAAGCAACCCTGGGTTCAATTCCTGGCACACACACACACAAAAATAACCTAGAAGCTATTTGCTTCTCTCCCAGCTAGGGTACAAACTCCCTAACATTTAAAAGCTTCTTTCTTTCCCATCTTGTGCTTTACACAGGGCTTGGCATTTGTTGAATGCATTTGCAGATAAGCAGGTGTTTAGGAAGGGGCGAGAGGGCTATCAGAAAATGGCGATTGGAGGAGTCTGGGGTAAGGAGGGAGTGTAACAAGGCGCAGGGCAGGACAGAGGCACAAGTGTTCTAACCCACTCCTATTCCCTGCAGCCCAGTGTTTCCCGGGCTCTTTGAGTTCTGCTCCCGTTACACAGGTGCATCCCTCCAAGGAGCAACCCAGCTGAACAACAAGGTGATGTATTCCCAGTTCTTGTTTCTTTCCTATGAGTCTGTAGACTCAGTGCTTTACCCTGACCCTGGGCTCCCAGCTTCAGGGGTGGGCAGAAGAGGACTGTGAGTTGGGTGTTTGTCTTTCAGATCTGCGATATTGCCATTAACTGGGCTGGTGGTCTGCACCATGCCAAGAAGTTTGAGGTGAGTGAGGATGTGATGGGGAAGACAGTGGCTACCCTAGGGTAGGCAGTCAGGATGACAGTGGGGGGCAAACGGAGGGATTGTTTCTCTATTTAAAAGACCACTGTCTTGCTATAGGCCTCTGGCTTTTGCTATGTCAACGACATTGTAATCGGCATCCTGGAGCTGCTCAAGTAAGTAGCCCAGGAGGGGCACTTAAGAGGATCTCAACCAAGGAGGTCCCTCAGACAGCCCTGACCCTGACCCTGATCTCTCTCCTTCACCACTAGCTTCTCCCAAGTTCTTGATGCTTTTCTTAGGCTGCGTCTTCCTCTGCTCTGCTGCAGATTGCCTGCTGCCTGCTCAAATTTCAGCCTTTTCTGCACACCCCTCTCCTGTCCCTGCCTCCAGCCTCCAGGCTGGATCCCCAGGGTTACCCTTAGAAAACTGGTGGTATTAGGTTTCAGGTGACTTGGCAGACTTTAAATAATTCCAGACCCTATGTTTGGGAGGAATGGATTGGGGTTCACCTCTACCTCAGACCCTGGCTTTGCCCTTACCCCAGGTACCACCCTCGTGTGCTCTATATTGATATTGACATCCACCATGGAGATGGCGTTCAGGAAGCCTTCTACCTCACTGACAGGGTCATGACGGTGTCTTTCCACAAATACGGAAATTACTTCTTCCCTGGTACAGGTACAAGAACATGAATTACTGTTCCCTTTACATCTGTTAGTTCTTTAGCATGACTGATTACTAGAGCACTCATTGCTATTTATATTTAATGTGTGTGTGTTTTTAAAAAATATTTGTTTACTGTCTCCTTTTTCATTGTGAGGAAGAGTATAAGCTTGGTAGGATTTCATTATTCTATTTATTGCTGTATCCGATGTGCCTAGTATGCAGCTTGGCTCATGGTAGTTATTTAAAAAAAAAAAAAATCATTGAATGACTTACAAACTGCAAGAAACAGTGGATCTAGGGAGTCTGGTGGAGATTCATTGACAGAGCTTCTAAGTTGCAAGTGCTTCCCATGCATGGCTCCCACTACCCACTTCCCTATAGGTGACATGTATGAAGTTGGAGCAGAGAGTGGCCGCTACTATTGTCTCAATGTGCCCTTGCGGGATGGCATTGATGATCAGAGTAAGTACTGGTGTCTTCTCCCTGTGTACTCTGCCCCTTCTTTCTCTCTTTTAATTAATCTCTTCTGCCTGGTGTTGTCTGCTATTGGGCCAGGTATCCTTAAGGATGAATGGCCTTCAAAGGGACCAAGAACCCCTGGAAATTGTATGCAAAATATCATATGTATGCACACTTAATGATAAGGGTCATTAGCTTTCATCAGTCACTCATAGCAGTCTGGTACTCCTGAGTTTAGAACCAATGGTTTGGTTCTTTGGCTTGCCCCTTTCCTGGGCTACATGCTCTCTCAACCCCCTTTTTCCTTTTGTTCCCTGTCTCCCCATCCCCTTGGGGTGCCAGGTGCCCATCTTTGGCCCTCTCCCAGGTTACAAGCACCTTTTCCAGCCGGTCATCAACCAGGTGGTGGACTTCTACCAACCCACCTGCATTGTGCTCCAGGTAATGCTGTCAGTGCCTGCTAGGAGGGCTCACCTGGGCTTGAGGGAAGAGAGCGGGAAAGAGGAAGGTCCCTAGGTTGGTGAGGGAAGGGATGTGGAAGATATCTGTGATGTTCTGATCAGTTGTGTCACTGCAGCTGCCTGGCATTTTGCTTTTGCAGTGTGGAGCTGACTCTCTGGGCTGTGATCGATTGGGCTGCTTCAACCTCAGTATCCGAGGGCATGGGTGAGACTTGCCCTTCTTCTCCCCCAGGTTTTACAAGTGGCTTTGGGCTTTACTAAATGGAATAGGAGTAGTTAAAGATGGGCCTATTTCTTCTGCGAATCAAAAGTAATCTATAAGTTGTGCTTGAACCAGGAAATGTCACCTTAAATAGGATCTTCTAGATGGTCATTCATTCACAGTAGGTTTTTATTAAGGACTGATTGTGTTCCAGGCATTGTATTAGATGATGGGGATGGAATGATAAAGTGCACAGAGTTTACAGTTTAGAGTAGGAAGCAAACAAAAAATAAGTAGATTGCTATAAATCCTATAGAGGAAAAAAATAGAAAGCTGGGACAGAGGGTAACAGTAGGGAATCTCCTTTGGCATGATTTGGAAAGGGTTTTCTGTGGAGGTAAAATGGGAGCAGAGAGCTGGAGGCTAAGACCGAGTGAGCCACAAGAGAAGCAGAGAGAAGCCTGTCCCAGGCAGTGAGTTATGCCTACAAAAGACTCTGAGGCTGGGAAGAACTGATGTGGTGAAGGAAACGAAATAAAACGAGTGAGGCCAGAACACAGGGACCAAGCTGGAGGTAGATCGAGTTGAGGTCCTAGAAATTGGCCATGGTGAGATTGTACAGGGCCTCTGGACTCTGGTAAGGAGTTTGAAGGTGGTCCAGTGATGGAGGGCAACTGTTGAAGGATATTTAAGCAGGGAAGTTACATAATCCAATGTATTTTAAAGTGACTGTGCTGAGTTTTGGGGTAGAGTGATGGGACAAGATTGGTAGTGGAAAGACCAGTTAGGAAGTTACTGGCATTGTCTAGGCCAGAGATTGGGTGCCCAAACTGAAGTGGAGGAGGTGGTGACAGAGAGTTGTAGGGGGTTAGGGTTATATTCTGAAGGCCAGAACTGACATACTGGCTAGTATATTGATAAGTATAGTTGATTAACAGGTAGGATGCCAAGGAGAGTGTTGAGCAGGACAGAAGTATTTTATTTCCTTATTTTTGAGGGTGCACTTTATTTTAAAATTTTCACTGAGACACAAAATATAGTACACAAATTCCAACAGTATAACTTAATGAATTCCACTACCCAGACCAAACTAAAGAACACTTACAATTCCCTGTTGCCCTTTCCAAGTAATATCTAGAGGTGTAGACCTTGGCTCCACCCATTCTTCTGGTTCCTTTTAACAGGGAATGTGTTGAATATGTCAAGAGCTTTAATATCCCTCTACTGGTGTTGGGTGGTGGAGGCTATACTGTCCGAAATGTTGCCCGCTGCTGGTGAGTACCCTCCCTGACTTTCCTGTTCTTGCATTGTGGGGTAAGCTAGGGACTCCCACAATGGGATATGGCCAGGTGGGCCTTTCAGCCTACTTAGTCAGCTTACCTCACTCTGCTGGTTGGTTTCAGGACATATGAGACATCGCTGCTGGTAGAAGAAGCCATTAGTGAGGAGCTTCCCTATAGTGGTAAGAACCACCCACAACACCTCCATAACAGGAAGGCTCTTTTCACCAGCCCTAAGAATGATCCGATTTGAAAGCAGACAGGAAATTTTACATTCTCAAAGCTCGGCAGATGAAATCTCTGGGCCGAGAACAAGGAAAAGACTGGGCAGCTATTTTGTAGGGGTCTGGATGGGAAGGGAGGGACTGGAAAGTCTTGGGACCTGCGTGTCTTGGTCTGAACCATGTTTTCTGGCTAATCCCCTCTTCTCATCCCCTCTCCTCCCCACCTCCCTCCCCAAGAATACTTCGAGTACTTTGCCCCTGACTTCACACTCCATCCAGACGTCAGCACCCGCATTGAGAATCAGAACTCACGCCAGGTCAGCCACTCAGAGAAGCCATGCACAAGATAGGGGAGCCCAGGAGAAGTCTAGGATGTAGGAAGTGGGAGAAATCAAAGATGGGGGAGTTCTAAGCTGTCACTATCCCTGCTACCAGCTAGGAGACAGCCTAGGATAGTGTAGAGGTAGTCAGGGTTGGTGGGAAGGGACAGGTATCAGTTGGGAGATCTGAAATAGAAATACTACTGAGATGAAAACCAGGACATTAGGAGCAGAAGGTCGCTAGAAGGGTGGATGCTCTGGGAGTCACTAGGAGCCACTCACTTTCTATTCCTCCTCTTCAATCAGTATCTGGACCAGATCCGCCAGACAATCTTTGAAAACCTGAAGATGCTGAACCATGCACCTAGTGTCCAGATTCATGATGTGCCTGCTGATCTCCTGACATATGACAGGACTGATGAGGCTGACGCAGAGGAGAGGGGTCCTGAGGAGAACTACAGCAGGTCTGGGCAGGGACTTGAGAGTGGGACATTCCAGCAGGCTTGCAGGGGAGGCTTACAAGAGAAAAGTAAATTGAAAGACACTGGCTTTCTTGTCCCTGGTTTACTGCCTTTAAGTCAGTACAATTCCCCTACTCTTTTTTTTTATTTTTTTGTTTGCAGTTTTCAGTGACAAAGTAACATATTTATTGTAAAAATTATAAATAGCATCTAGCTGGGTGCATAATCTCAGCAGCTGGGGAGGCTGAGGCAGGAGAATTGTGAGTTCAAAGCCAGCCTCGGCAAGAGTGAGGTGCTTAGCAACTCAGTGAGACCCTGTCTCTAAATAAAATACAAAATATGGCTGGGGATGTGGCTAAGTGGTTGAGTGCTCCTGAGTTCAATCCCCAGCACCCTCCCCCCCAATTATAAACAACATCAAAGTAGGTTACGTTTACATTCACATAATCCCAGACCCATTCCACAGAAGTAACTATCATTAATAGTTTGATTTATATCTTTTTAGGTAGACCTTTTTTTCTGTAAATTGCAAGTGTATTTCTAATGCATATATACTATGAACATATATTCATTCATAGAGTTTGCTATTTGTGGGGGTTTTGATTTTTGTTAGTCTAAATGGAAACATTCTGTACATGTGGCTCTACAACTTAAACTTGTCTTTTTTTAAAATAAGATATCGTATCTTTGTGTTAGTGATATGGATCTGTTTCTGTATTTTATCAGCTGCATAATATTCCATTGTGTGGATATAACCTAATTTAACTAACTACCATTGATGGACAGTTACATTAATTTACATAACCCCCCCTTTTTTTGCTATTATGGTAATAAAGAGGGTGGCAATGAGTCCCCTTATGTATACATATTTGCATGCTTGTTTAAATGAGTTAGATTCCTAGAATTGTTGTTATTAGGTCAAAGGTTGAATGCAGAAAAATCATTTGTATTTGCTGTCACATTGCCTTCCAAAAAGTCTTTTTTTGTGTATGTGTGGTACTGGGGATTGAACCTAGGGCCTTGTGCATGTGAGGCAAACACTTTACCAACTGAGCTGTATCCCCAGCCCTCCAAAAAGTCTTTAGCAATTTACATTCTTGCCAGCATTTTAGTCTTTCCTTGTGGGTTGGCTGGACAGGTCACTGCCTGCATATTGCTCTTTAATGTTGTTTGATTTCTGTTCATTTTTTTTTCAGGTTTGAGAATAGTGGTTCTGTTTTTTTCAAAAAAAGCTTTTGTCTTTCTGAGATACATACTGAAATATTTATAGATAGAATGAATAGGGGACGGTGAGGATAGAAATTGTTTTTTTTTTTTAATATTTAATTTTTAGTTTTCAGCGGACACAACATCTTTGTTTGTATGTGGTGCTGAGGATCGAACCCGGGCCGCACGCATGCCAGACGAGCGCGCTACCGCTTGAGCCACATCCCCAGCCCCCTAGAAATTGTTTTTAAAATATCAAAACAAACTTTTCTGAAAAATGAAGGGAAAAAACGAGAACCCAGAAGTGCAAAACCAGATGCACTTGTGGAGAACAGATTTCTTTACAATATTGAGGAATAACCAACCACAGCTGGACATTTGCAGGATACCCAGTCCTGCTCCTGTTCAGTGTTAGAAGTTGAAGCTTGCTCTGCTGCAGTCTGGTGAGCTTCTCAGACCCTTCTAGAGTCTGCTTCTCACATTTACAACTCATAATCAGAGTTCCAGCCAGCGTCTCTGTCCTTTGGACATGGGCTTTACTACTCTAACCCTTAGGACCTGTCCATCTTCCCTCCTCTATGAAAGCCCCCTTATTGCCTGGCCTGGGTTGGGAAATATCTAAACATCTGGCCTCAGAGCTTTTGAGTCATCTCCTTCTCAGTTTTTCTAGGTTTCTAAAGCTTGACTTCTGGAAATTGATTTTCAGTGTCTGATTTGGTTTGGCAAAACCTGTTTTTAAGTTCTTCCTTTTGTCAAAGTTTGGCTTTTTCATCAATAGTAACAGACTGACATCTGGGTCTAGTCTGCACATTATACCACACCCTTTCAACAGTCAGCAGAAGCCTCAGGCCTTTCTTCCTGTTCCTAAGCCCTACCTCCCTGTCAGACCACCCACTGAGTTCTGGTTCTTCGTTGATCCTATAGCTCCAACTTGCATATGACTTGCAGAGTAGTAATAATAAGAGTTGCCACTTCTGTGGCTTTGCCAAGCACCAGACTCAATACTAGGTGTTTTATAGTACAACATACATATCATGTCATTGTTCTGGTGCCATCGGACAATGCTAAGAGTAGCTCTTATCCTCAGATTACCTGAGGAGGAGTCTAAGCCTCAGAGAGGTTAAATAATGTTCCTGGGGTCATAAAGCTAGTTAAGATACAAATCTAAGCTTGTGACCCCACAACTTTTATCCTTGTGGTGAGATAACTGACCTGTGGCTCAAGTAGATAGAGCCTTACCTGACTTATTCCCTCAGCTACTCTTTGATGACTCAGTTTTCTCTCAGAGAGTAGTTTTTGAAAAAGAAAGAAATCAGTATTGAGTATTTACTGGGCCCTGTGTTTCTTTCACATCCCTTCTCTCAGTGTAGGTTTAAGTCAGTCCTCTACTTCTGGCTTAAAAAGGCCCTGTGTGCTGATCCTGACTTCCATCCGTGATCTTATCTGTAACTACTCTCCTTCATGATACAACGCCCAGCCATCATGGCCTCCTTGTTATATTAAAATATACCAGTTTTTTTCTACCTTATGAGGCTTGGAACAGTTTTCCTGAGATGTTTGCTTGGCTTCCCAAACTTCAGGCTTTCATTCTTAAAATTATTTTCCCTAAAAATCCTGTCTGGAATTTACCATTTTCCTCTTATCACTCACAGTCATGTTACTTTCTTTCTTTTTTCTTTTTTTTTTCCATAATGTCTCCACCATCTGAAATTATATTATTTACTAAATCTTTGGTCTCATTTATTAGGTAAGCTTTTTCATGATGGATGAAAGCCTGGTCTGGCTAATTATCTGCTATAAGCCTCTGACACATGCCTGGCACAGAGTATTCTCCATAAATGTTTATTGAATATGTGAGTGGATGAATTCATAGCAATCATTCTCTACCAAAAGGAGGAGAGGAATTCCCAGAGACCTTGAGGAATGGCTCTGGAGAAGGTGCTGGAAAGTTGTAGAGCAGGGTTCTGATCTGTCTGCCCTTGCTTTGCAGGCCAGAGGCACCCAATGAATTCTATGATGGAGACCACGATAATGACAAGGAAAGCGACGTGGAAATTTAAGAGCGTCTTGGAATGCTATGTCTCAAGGAATTCTTTTTCATGCCTTGTTGGTGGGAAGGGAAAAGGTGTGCTTCCCTAGTCTGGGAACCTGAGGCTAACTCTGAGGAAGGGTTTGGAGATCACATGTGGTTCTAGAACCATCTATCCCCTTTTCCTTTCTCTCCCACAGCCTGACAATGGTACTTATTAGGGATGAGATAGGGAAGTATAGCTGGCTTTGGGACATTCTAGGCAGTAGACCCTAGTAGCCAGTCCCCAACCCTTCTGGCCCCTTATTCCTTCCCTGCTTCCCTCCAACCCAGAGACTCAGGGATGAAGGGGTAGAGAGGACTGAGGTTGTCTCTAATATCCTTCTCCTTTGGGTTCTACTGCAGGCCTTACTTCCAGGACAAGCAAAGGGTGAGGGTTTTGGGTGGTGGGGGCTCTGGCTCCCTAACATCTTAACTATAGACAATGGGAAGTATGGTTTTGTGTAGGGGAGGATATGAACATGTCCTGTCTAACTTTTGGTTTTATGTCCATTTTACCACTGTTTTTAATCCAATAAACCAAGTTGGTATTTTTTGTACCTTTCTGGGAATATTAATTCTTGCTAACTATGTATGAAGGGAAAGGGAAATGGGGTAATGATGCATATAATAAAAATCATAGTTAACATTTATTCAGTACCCTATGTTAGGTCCTGTGTGTATATTCTACATGGATTATTTTACTTGTATATAGGGAGTTAATAGAACATTTTGGTGGAGAGTTAGACAAACTTGGGCAGATAACTAGCTTGAGATGGCAAAGAAGGTGACTTCAGGTTTGTTAACGTGGGTGATTGGCCTGCTCATGCTTGTTGGTGAAGATAAACTGAGATGAAACATAGTAAGTCTTAATACAGTGCTAAATATTAAAAAGTTGCTCATTAACTGTCTTTGTGAAAAACATTACTAGATATTGTAAATGCTGCAAACATAGACCCTTCTCTGGAGGAGTTTACAGTCAGTAAGAAATGTGGTAAATTTAGCACACATTGACAGTGGTACAAGAAAGAGAAGTGGTAGATGGGTCACTCCCTCAGTCCTTTCAGTCTGTTGCCCACCATGTTAGCTTAGAAAGTAGTTTTTAAACTGTTTTGGACAAACTGAGTTTGAAGTATGGTCTGGACAGCTCTGTGCAACTTTCTACCAGGCAATTAGGTCTAGAGCACAAGGGAGATGAAGGCTAGATTGAGGAGCAACCTGCTTAGCAGAGTCTCTGGTATTACCAGGGCATACTCTAAGCATTGGGGACCCTAGTAAGTCACTGCCCTCCATGAATGTGCACTTAAAATCTTTTGTCTGCTGTGGTCAAGAATATTCACTCCATACTTTGAGGGCCCACAGGGTGCCATGTACTTTTCACACACAAAGACAGATGTAGTTGGAGAATGGATGAAATTGCTGAGGGAGAAAATCATGCTAAGGGCAAAGAACATACTGTTGGAGAACATCATTCTTTAAGGAATGTTTGATTTATGCCAGTGGGGAATCCTGGTTAAACACAGGGCTTGACAGATTAATCTGGGCTTAAATTTTTTTGCCAATTATGTGTGCTTAATCAAGTTATTTTAACTCCCCCCAATCCAAATTTCTTATCTGTAAAACGGTGAGACCAATGGAACTTTTCACATGAGATTGTGAGTGTTCAGTAAGAAAAGGTTTGTAATATTTTGCATAGTGCCTGGCAAGGAACGTGCATTTAGCTAAGTGGTAACCATTATTACTGCTTAGGCTATTGGTGATAATTAGTTTGTACACATTAGAAACATAATCCCTACCTGGGATTCATAACTGGGAAATTCTAACTCCAGAACTAATCTAGTTAGGAGTCCAGCATTGAGCGGACCACGCCTTGTTTTTGGTACATGGCCTTCAATAAATGGTAGCTTTTGGTTTAAATTTTTTTTTTTTTTCCATATGCTTGCTCCATGTTTACTGAACACATTGAAAACTGCGTTATCCTAGAGCGCCCAGCACCAAATTTTCTGCCAGCCTAACGGTTACGTGATTTTTTTGTTCAGATAATACTCTGGTCGGGGATGTGTGAAGGGTCTAGGTTTTTACGGCCACGTGGGCGCTGCGTGGGAGCGAAGAGGCCTGAGCCGCTCCAACCGCCAGAGGGCGGTGCTCCCAGTTGCAGGCGCCAGAGCTGCACCGCCCACTCGCTAACACCCCGCCCCCCCCACGTGGGTCCAAATGGTTAGGCCCGCCGGGCAGGTAGCGCGCTTCCGCGGCTTCCCTCACCCCCCTCCCTGCCCCCATTGGTAGGGGCTGCGGGTCCGGGCGGAAGTGGGGCAGGGGGGCGGGAGCGAGGCGTCACCGTTGTATATTCATGAGGCGCGCGCAGCTCGGCATGCTAATGAGGCGGGGCGCGGCGGCCGGCTGAGGAGCTGCTGGGCGGCGGCGGCGACTGGCGTGGAGCAGCCGGGCGGGAGCGGCGTAGGTACAGGGTCACTGGTGAGCGCGAATCAGGACATGGAGCCGTCCGGCGGGCCCCTGGGGCCCGGACGCGGGACCCGGGACAAGAAGAAGGGCCGGAGCCCGGATGAGCTGCCTGCGACGGGCGGCGACGGCGGCAAATCCAAGAAATTCGTGAGTGTCCCTCCCACCCAGGTCCCTCAGCCCGGCCTGATAGCCGCCCTCTGGACTCCAGGGGCTCCGGTCGGTCGCCAGGGGTCCGCCCCCGCACCTCCTTTCCTCGTTCTGCTTGGTCCTTGGCTCCACAGCCTGGCATCCTCCCCCTCCGGGACTTTGGAAGCTCCGGCGCCCCACCTGGCTCTTGCCCCGGCAACCTCGGGGCTTCCCTTACTCCTCGGCCCTCACGCTCTCAGCCCCCAGCGGCTCCACTTTCTTTCGTCTGCTCCTAGAACCCAAACATACCTTCTCTTTTTGGTCCCCTCTCTGGGTCCATTTTCTCTTCTCGCCCTTACCCCCTTTTTTGGTGTTATCTTATTTCCTTCTCCTAAAGGTCACTTCCTTTCCCATGATTGATCCCGTTCACCTGCTAACTTTCGTCCCATCTCGTCCCCCTCAGGGCCTTCAGCCCGGTGTCACCTGATAATCCTTCCCCTCAAGAATGTTACCTGACTTGGGCCCTACCTCTCCTCCTTCCTTGGACATTTGTCCTTGCGATTACAGGAATGAGTTCCTGCCCAGGTCGTGTGGTCATTGGGGCATGACGATAATTGGCTTTCCAGTATTTCTCTATTCAGAGAACCTGTCTCTGCCCTGTTGCTTATCACTTTTCACGGGGTTAGAACTTCTCAGGATTATGCCCTTCTTAACCCAGAATGGTGATAAACCTCCCCCGCGGGGAGGAAATTAGATTTCAAGCCCAAGAAGTTTGTGAGTAATCGAATTGCTGCTTTTTATACATTTCCTATGATAACCATCTCCTCAACTCCTCTTCTGTCACGTTTTGTGCCCCAAGGCTACTGCCATCCCATTTCCTAACTGTAGTGTAGCTTTCCTCAGGTGTCAATTACTTCCAATCTGAGTCTGAGGGAATATTGCTATTCATGTAGCCCTATCATTATTTTATTACCTTTGTCCATCCTAAATTCTAATTTCTTACTGCCTCCTCCAGGGAGCTACTTGTCTGTTTTTTTACTATGAAAGCTTTGAAAGATACTGAACATTGTCCAAGAGAGGGAGTCTAGATATTAATCATTTGCTAGTTATTTACTTAGTCTTTTCTTCCAGGTACTTAATGCCCCAACCCTATTGTCTTTTTCTACCAACCAAAGGACTTATCATTTTTACCTCTTGCTTTCTCTTAGGCCCGCTCCCCCAGTATTCTAGTCCAACTTCACAAGTTTGGAAAGAAAACTAATAAAGTGATGGAAACAGGAAGAAAATGTTTTGTGACCTAGAGGGTTGGGATGCTGAGTGTACTAAACAAAATTAAAATAATGACTCATTTCTTCCCACCTATTTCTAGCAAGACCAGGTGCTCCTATACTATCCTTTACAGTGACCTCCAGGCTGTCAGTAACTGCTTGTTTTTATCTGGTGAATACCTTTCTTCCCAGAAATACAGGGTTAATAGTAAATGACACCTCCTTTCCCTTTGGTGACTAAAGCAAACTTTTCCCTATATTTTTTGGGGACAAGAATTGCTCCTCTAATTGGGGAGGGTTTTTTCGTAGAACTTAAGTTCTAGGGCCTATATTCCTTCTATTTTTGTATCTTTTTGTTTTTGTTTTGTTTCCATGGGTACTATTTGACCTTCTTCACCCAAATTTTAGCTATTTCTGTTGATTTGTAGTGACTTCCATGACTTGTTAGTTTCTCAAATCTTGTAGAATTTTGAATGTGCTTTTTGTTTTATCTGATACAAATGTGTTTCACAAATTTGTGAAGTCTACTTAAAGTGATGTTGTAAGGTGAGAAACCTGAGGAAACTCAGCTTCTTTTCACCTGTTTTTTTGGTATGTTCATGGACTGTGGCATATGCTGAGTGGATTTGGCTCGCAGTTGTTGATATTTGCTTTCAAGAGGGTGGAGCTGAACCAAGTTCTCTTTTTCCTTCTGAAGTGTTGCTCTTAACTCTTATCCTGCCATATTTTAAAAGCTAGGTATTACAGGTAGTAAGGAGAATTGCATTTGTAGATAGGGAATTGGAAGGTTTCCAGAAAAGTAGTGTAGCTTAACCCCTTAATTGCCAAATATAATGTATCTGATGGCATCAGTATATTCTCTCTTTCTTCATTGCTCTTTTTATGAGAACTCTGGAAATGAGAGATGAGGAGGAACATTGCAATCTACTTCTCCTTGTGTCTGTGTATGTATATGTGGGTGGGTGGAGTGGGTGAGATTGCCAGTGTGCTTTTGTTACCCAGGGATTAGTTTTCTTGAACTACAGGCTAAAACCAAACTCAAAGCTCTTTCGCCTACTTCACCTTTTCTAAAGTGTGTGTCCTCTGGAACTCTATTAAGAATGTACTTTAAAGACTGGGGGTGTAGCTCAGTGGCAGAGCACTTGACTAAAATGTGCATGGCCCTGGGTTTGATCCTTAATACCCCGCCCCACCAAAAAAAAAGTACTTGATATAAGTGCATCATTTTGAACCAAGTGTGCTTGAATGTTATTTGCATTTAAGGGGTAGGAATCCCTTTAGTCGTTGCTACATACCTTTCTGGGCTCTAGGTTCTAAGTACAGATCAACTGATGAGAACACAGAGCTTACATACTCCTCTTTTGGTTCTTTCTAAGTCTCTTTTCTCCGGGACCATGAGCATATCCTTTTTTTTTTTTTTTATACTGGAGATTAAACTCGGGGGTGCTTAACCACTGGAGCCATATCCCCAGCCCTTTTTCTTAACATTTTATTTTAGATGTAGGGTCTCGCTGAGTTGCTTAGGGCCTCGCCAAGTTGCTGAAGATGGCTTTGAATTTGTGATCCTCCTACCTCAGCCTCCTGAGCTGCTGGGATTACAGGCTTGTGCATTACCATTCCTGGCAGCATATCCCTTCTTTAGTATTATATTAGTTTGTTTCAAAATTCGTTCAGGTAAAGGAAAATAAAAATTCTAAATAAAGAGTG